GGGAATGCATGGGGAACAGCAGACAGCACCCGATGAAGGGACCAGGGCAGCCATGGGAAGTGTGCACCAAAGAGGAAACCTTTTTATGAACAGGCTTGTTGTGAACTGGTTCTCTTAGGTTTGCTATTCCTTAAATTCACAACAGACCTGAAGTTAAAAACAAGAAGTATTAATCTGTAGAAATGTCAAAGTTTTGTTGTCTCAAAAAAAGTCATTTTAAAAAAGAGATATTATGTATACCAACAAATATATTTATTATAGTTAAGAATAGAGGACCCGGGATCCCTGGGTGGCGCAGCGGTTTAGCGCCTGCCTTTGGCCCAGGGCGCGATCCTGGAGACCCAGGATCGAATCCCGCGTCGGGCTCCCGGTGCATGGAGCCTGCTTCTCCCTCTGCCTGTGTCTCTGCCTCTCTCTCTCTCACTGTGTGCCTATCATAAATAAATAAAAATTAAAAAAATTTAAAAAAAAAAGAATAGAGGACCCATAGATTCCAAATGGGAGAACTGTTTCTATGACAACAAATGAAATATAAAAAGTTGGCAGGACCAAATAAACCATAAAATTCTAAATTATAAACATATGCATATAGGAAATTATAAATCTACTATATAATTCTTAGTGTTTTAAGTTTCAGTGAAGTGATTAGAAAAAACGCTTCATTTTACAAACAGGATTCTGAATCTTCCTAACATTCTTCACCACATGTGCAGGTTAAGCTGTCAAAAAATAACTTTTAAGATACCTGGGCAGTTTTTCTTGCCCCTTAAAAAACTATTTGCAATTCGTCACCTTGAATCCAGGGATTAAAAATACCGATTTTTCTCATTTCCCCTAGATCTACTAATAAAGACATGTAAGGACCGTGTGTTTGTGTTCATTATCCTGTAAACAACACCCACAGTTGAGATCATAGCTTCTCTCCTCTTTACTATAATAAATACGTCTATTTACATACACAAACTTTTTTTAAAAAAGGCAATCATAACACATTTGGAGTCCCTGTCTCATAGAATAGATATTCCACTTATATATACTTACATCCTGAGACATATGCCACCCTGCCTCTGCAACTCCTCCCCTGGCCATATACCTCCACACATGCACCCATATCAGTTTTGTGGATGCAGTTTCTCTGCATCTGGCACGTCACCTTGTAGACACCTAGCACTCACATATCTCTTAAACAGAAGGTTCTTTTACTTTCTGTAAATCAGAAACATCTTTCTAGATTTAAAGCCTAGAAGATCTTGGGCAAGTCACTTAAACTTTCTACACCCAAATAAATTGGCTGCTCAAAAAGAGAAAATAATTGCTTAGAAACAGCTAAGTCTGTATTTGATAAATTGTATTGGACACAATAACACTTAAGTCTTTTCCAAATGGTTATCAGTGGTAATCTTCTCGGGAGGAAGCACTCCTAGCTAATAAAGGAAACTTTTTGGAGGTTTCCAAAAACAACTATTTGGCCAGGTTAGACATTGTTGATGGGGTATGTTAATTACAAAATTAAAATTTAAAATTCACCTAGGAAAAAAACATGAGCTGTTTAGGAACATGGTTGTGAACAGACATTCAACTACTCCAAGGGCGCCAACTAGGGCCCGGCAGAATGGTTCCCGCAAAGAAGGGTGGCAAGAAGAAGGGCTGTTCTGCCATCAACAGGGTAGTGACCAGAGAATACACCATCAACATTCACAAACATGTCCATGGAGTGGGTTTCAAGAAGCGTGCCCCTTGGGCACTCAAAGAGAGCCGGAAATTTGCCATGAAGGAGATGGGAACTCCAGCTGTGCACACGGACACCAGGCTCAACAAAGCTGTCCGGGCCAAAGGAATAAGGAATGTTCCAGACCGTATCCCTGTGCGGTTATCCAGAAAATGTAACGAGGATGATGATTCACCAAACAAGCTCTACACGCTGGGCTACCTACGTACCTGTCACCACTTTCAAAGATCTACAGACTGTTGTGTGGATGAGAACTAATCGCTGATTGTCAAATAAAAGTGAAAAGAAAAAAAAAAAAAACAAAACACAACCTACTCCAAGGGCTACTTGGAAAGGATACATTTCCTTAAGTAAAAGTTTGACTTTTATTTCTGATAATTTTCGGATGTTTTTAAATATTAAGTTATTAAACTTTAAAAATGTCAAATTGCATTTTAAATCAATATTTTACTCTAGATAGAATATTGCTTTTTAGAACTTCCAGCAAACATTTAAAAAAAAACAAATAAATAATAGCACTTATAATTACACAGCACTTTCTCCCACCTTCTCCCAGAGTGTCACACACAGGAGATAATTTCACATTCCACAACTCCTTCTATGACTAAGCAAGAGAGGTATCATTATCCCCACTTTATGTACAGGAAAATTAAGGTTCTGAAAGCCTTAAAAATAATTAGCCCAAGATTAGACAACTACATGCGTAGAAACTTCCAGCAATCTGCTCTACAATTGCTCAGTGTCTTTATCTAGAGCAGGATGGTACTGGACTAGAGAAGGCCACTTCTAGCCCTGAAATTCTAGATCAAAACAGGTCACATGCTCTTCACGCTGCAGCAGGGAGAGCTGGAGGTCACATAAGCTTCAACAGTGGTAAATAATTGCCCGATTCATTTTTGCTAATCAAGCCAAGAAAAGCTGACAGATTTTTCTTACTATTCTCCAATATTACATATGTTCGGAGTTCTTTTGTTTGCCAAAACAGTTACAGTTCTCATGTGCAGATACATTCAGCATTTGTTCACTCAACAAATATTTGAGCTCATGGCAAAGACATTCTATAGGGTGAGGTAGTGGTTATTTTTTAAGTCTAACATGATGCTGTTCATCTGCAAACTGCAGAGATGAGAGTATCTGACCATTCACAAAAAGAGAAGAAAAAAATCACTTCCGAGAAAGGTTCTTACAATGTGTGTAAAGCATAATTTCTATGATCCCAAGGGAGAGTCAACCATTGCCCTCTTGAACCACAACTATTCCCTCTACTTTCCAAAGCATGGCCTATAACCAGCTACCTTCCAGAAGCAAAGGAGAGAGAGAAGGTAGTTCATTCACCACATGCCATGGATGCCTTGGGCAGCGGCCGACAACCTGCTTTCCCTCTGCGCTGTGACACACTACGTAAGGACTCGGCACTAACCGCTACTTGCATTTGTAAGAAAAAAGTCATCATCAACCGTTGGCATAAAATGTCTCATCTCTCCACATTCCACCAACACCCAGCGTGGTCCCGCTGCCTGTCTGATTCCGGAGCTGCCCTAATGAGCACAGGCCAGTGCATCAGAACTCGCCCAGGACGCTCACGTAGTAAAGGGTAACTCGCCCAGGACTCTCACGTAGTAAAGGGTAACTCGCCCGAGGTCACTGGCCGGGGCGACACACTGGCGGACCGGCCGAGCCTGCTGCCCTGGCCGCTAGGAAAGGGCAGGCGAGCAGTCCTCGCGCCCAGGCCAGCTTCTCACCGGGAAGCACAGGCACCGCGCGGGACCCACCTGTGCCCACTGGCAGGTGGCACCACCGAGTGCCTTCCTGCTCCCACGCGCGGCGTCCCGTGTTAGACCCCAGGGACTGGACAGGAGCACCCGCTCGAGCCCCTGCTCTCGGGAGCTCCCACCCACCCACCCACCCACGGCTCAGTGACTTCTGGTGGGCCTAGCTGCTGCAGAGGGTCCAGGAGGCGATGCCATGGAGCGACCTCAGCCTAGGGGAGCAGCGGGGCGGGCGCGGCTCAGAAGGGGCTGCGGAGCCCAGCCACTGCCCCGTGCCCCCAGCCCCGGGCTGACTCAGTTTCCCCATCTGTCAGCGACAGAATAAGCGTTCCCGCCTCTCGGCTGGGGGGGCGTCCAGAACACCGTGGAGACAGTGACCCACCACGGGGCGGCCAGTCCCAAGCCGCCCCGAGCGCCGCCACCCCCACCCAGCCCCACCCAGCCCGGGGGCTCCCCCCCCCCCCCCGCGACCCAGCAGGCCCAGTCACCTCCCCCTTGCCCAGTCCCGCCCTCCCTGGGGGTCCCGCTGCCTTCCCCCCGCTCCCTGGGGGGCCCCCCTGCCCTCCCTCCCCACCCGCCGCGGGGGACCCCCTGCCCTCAGCACCCCTGCCCTCGCCCCCTGCCCCGGCTCCCCCCCTCCTCCCTCCCCACCCGCCCCGGGGGGCCGCCCTGCCCTCCCTCCCTGCGCCGGGCCCGCCTTGTCCCGCCCTCCCCGGGGGCCCCCTTGCCCTCAGCACCCCTGCCCTCCCTACCCGCCCGCCCTGTCCCGCCCTCCCCGGGGGGCCCCCCTGCCCTCCCCCCCCTCCCTCCCCGCCCGCCCTGTCCCGCCCTCCTGGGGGCCCCCCTGCCCTCAGCACCCCTGCCCTCCCCCACCCCGCTCTCCCTCCCCGCCCCCCCCCCCGTCCCGCCCTCCCCCGGGGCCCCCTTGTCCTCCCTCCCTGCCCCCCGCCCCAGGGGCCCCCCCGCCCGCCCTGTCCCGCCCTCCCCGGGGGCCCCCCTGCCCTCAGCACCCCTGCCCTCCCTCCCCGCCCGCCCTGTCCCGCCCTCCTGGGGGCCCCCCTGCCCTCAGCACCCCTGCCCTCCCTCCCCGCCCCCCCGTCCCGCCCTCCCCGGGGCCCCCTTGTCCTCCCTCCCTGCCCCCCGCCCCAGGGGCCCCCCCGCCCGCCCTGTCCCGCCCTCCTGGGGGCCCCCCTGCCCTCAGCACCCCTGCCCTCCCCCACCCCGCTCTCCCTCCCCGCCCGCCCTGTCCCGCCCTCCTGGGGGCCCCCCAGCCCTCAGCACCCCTGCCCTCCCTCCCCGCCCGCCCTGTCCCGCCCTCCTGGGGGCCCCCCTGCCCTCAGCACCCCTGCCCTCCCCCCGCCCCCTGGGGGGTCCCCCTGCCCTCCCTCCCCGCCCGCCCTCTGGGGGGGCCCCGCCCAGTCCCGCCCGCCCCAGCGGCCCCCGCCCCTTCCCTTGCCCGCCCCGCCGGCCCGAACCGCTATCGCCGCCCGCCCGCCGCTCACCGCCCTCAGGTCGGGCAGCCGGTCCCGCATCCCCACGGGCGCGGGCGCCACGCCCTGCCGCTCAGGCCTGGCCGGCGCCGCCTCCGGCCGCCGCGGACTCTCTGGGGCCGCGCAGCCGCCTCAACCTGCCGGTCGCCGGCTCGGGGCGAGCTCTCCCGCCGCCCTCCCCTCGGACCGGCGCTGCCACGGCAACCGCGCCGGCCCGCTCTGCGCATGCCCAGCCCACGCAGCCTGCGGGAGCCTTCGCCGTGAAAGCCGCGGCCGAGGGGCGGGCCCAGAGGCGAGGGAATGCACGGGGCCAGGCCGCGAGGGGCGGGGCCTAGGAGGAGGGCGGGGCCCAGGAGGGGGCGGGGCCCAGGAGGAGGGCGGGGCCCAGGAGGAGGGCGGGGCCCAGGAGGAGGGCGGGGCCCGCGCGGCTGGGTACGGGCCGGGGTCGAAGGGGAGGGGCAGGGGCGGGGCCTCGGGGGAGGGCGGGGCCTGCGGGAGGAAGCGGTGGGGCCTGGGGGCTGGCGGCAGGGGAGGGTACCCCTGGGTACCCTGCGGAGTTGTACAAGAACCGCCTTGGCCTTTCCTTCCTCCTTTTTTTTTTTTTTCTAAGATCTTATTTATTTGAGACAGCCCAAGCACGGGGAGGGGCAGAGGGACGAGCAGGCTCTCCACTGAGCTGGGAGCCCACGTGAGGTCTCCATCCCGCTGGGATCCTGACCTGAGCTGAAGGCAGATGCTTCACCCGCTGAGCCCCCCAGGCTCAGTCCCGTTTCGTCCCTTCTTGATTTGCTTTGTTTTTTTGTGCTTTCGCACGCATTTTATTTATTTTTGAAAATCGTGAACACACTGGTGAGCAATTCAGCCAGGCTGTGGGAAAGGCCTGGGTGCAGCTTTGGACACCTGCACCTGGAGGGGCTCTGTCTCCTCAAGGACGCACACCACTTTCCTTGGGAACACTGGGCAGGTGCAGGGACGCCCTGCTGGGGGGACACCACTTGGGGCGATGTAGGGCACCAAAGGACCCTCGCAAAGGTTCTTCTGGACAGCACTTACTTCGTGAAATCCCAGTGATGTAGCCCGGAGTGCCCCTGGAGCCTGAGTATGGCATCCAAGTCTGCAGCGTGCCCAAGTCTGCAGCGTGCAGGTGCCTCTGACACATGGGAGGCCCCAGTCCAGTCCTGATTAAGGCATCCCAAAGAACATCTATGACCACAGCATCACACTTAAAGTCCTCTGTGTACAGTTTCTCATGCCCCATGTCTTACCTCCTGTGAGTCCCAGAACTCCGTGGGTCCTACACATCTCCAAGACCACCTCCTCCTGGGCCCTGCACGCCTCCAGGACGTGGCCCTGCAGGTGGGCCAGCACCCCTCTCTCAGCACAGAGGGCTAACCCTGTCTCTGGTGAGTGCTGGTCCTGCCTCATGTCTTCCTCATGCCCCAGCCCAAGCACGTAACGTGGACAGCAACTGGATAATGTCAAATTGTCAACCAGAGCTTTCTTACCCTGCCAGGGAAAGATTAAGTGTGAATATTAGTACATAAGGTGTCATTGCTGTCTCTATCACATACATACATATGCAGTGTGACCATGTCGCCTCATGGTGACAGGTGATGGACTTCCCTGGGTTATGGGGATGGGCCAGGTCTAACCACTTGAACCTTCACAAGCGGAGGACTTGGCTGCAGCGGAAAGAGGAGATCGGGCAGAGGGGACATCAGAGAGACCTCCAACTGTGGTAAGGATTCAGTGCTCCACTGCTCCACTGCTGGCTCTGAAACATGGGGTCCATATACAAGACTGAAGACAAACTTCTAGGAGCTAAGGGTGGATGCCAACTGCCACCTGACAGCCAGCAAGCACATGAGGATGTCAGTCCTGAACTACAAGGACCCACGCTCTGCTGGCACCCTGCCTGAGCTTGGGAGCTGTTTCATCCTTGTGGCCCCCAATGACAGTGAACCACTGGCATCGAGATTTCAGCCTCCTGAACCCCCAGAGCAGAGAGCCCAACCCCAGACTTCTGACCCTTAAAACTGTGAGCCAATCAATGGGTATTGTTTAAACCGGCTGGATTTTTATAATTTGTTACAACGACTGAAGAACAGTAACACAGTGGTTTACTGTAATCAGGAATTTAGCCCCCACTGGATAGGGCATATAAGCTGTATTACTTGCCCCTTTCGGAGGAATGTTACAGGTAATGAATGAAGGAATGAGGAGGACACCTTTGCTGGCTACTGATCTTTGTGTCCTTCCTTTCTACCAGTATACCTGTGTCTCTGGTTGACAGGACATGAATGAATCAATCATCTACTTAGACCAGGGAGTGAGAAGTGCCTCTGTAAAGTTAGAACAGAATTCAATGCCTCCTGATATCAAGGTAAGAAGCCTACAGGCCATAGATAGCCTAATAACATTGTCTCCAACTTTCTTCTCTGTAGCCTAGACATTGCCTCTAGACACGGCCTCATCCATTAGAAACAGTTGCGTGCACCATGTTTGATTCTTCAATACACTGAGGTTTAAGCCAACACTCTGGAGGTTACAGTACATCAGTAACAGGTATAGAGATTTGTGGGAGAGTTTATAATTTTTATATGTAAATTATTTACTCAGTTGGAGTAAAAACCAAAGTCCTCACAGTGGCCTGGAAGGCCCTGCACCATCCGACCATCCCCAATACCTCCAGGGTCTCATTTTCTGGTACCCTTCCCTTTACTCACTCCCACCCAGCCCCATTCCACCTCGGGGCTTTTGCACAGGCTCTTTCTGTCTGCTCTCTCCCCAGATATACGTGTAGCTTGGTCCCTCACTTCCAATGATGCCTTTTGTGTGAGGCCTGTCCTGACCCACTCTGTTAAAAATTGCACCCCATACTCCATACTCCAAACCGCCTTACCCTACTTTTTCTCCCCCTTAACACCTACAGCCCTCTGATGAACTACATCATGCATGTATGTATTTTGTTTGCTGCTTATCTCTTTCCTCTGGAATGTCCACTCCACCAAAGTCAGGGATTTTTGTCCACTACTCCATAATCATCTCCAACACTGAGAATGGAGCCTAACACACATGAGGCATGAAATAAATATTTGTTACATGAATGAAAAAATTATGCCACAAAATTTGCTTAGCATGTGTACCCGTTGTAAACGTCGTTACTGTGATGGGAAAGTGATGGCACAGTACAGGATACGGAACTTTGGGCCAGAGAGTCTGGATTTGAACCCAGCAAGGTTCCTGCCTATTTTAAAATTCTGTGATTCTAAATTAATGTATTTTCATTGGACTTCATGAAATACTGGGGGAAATTTCGAAAATCCAGATTCAAAGTCAGATTTCTGCAGAATGACTGTCAGTTAACCACAGAGCATTTGTTCTGGCCATTCATGGAAGAATCTGTAGTCCCCTCCTGATCCTGCATATACCCTTGGGGGGTATTTGGAAATACAGGTGCCTTTTTAATTGATCATCATGCTTAGCTTAGAATAGGCTACCCTCTTAAAGACAGGGCCGAGTGTATTATATGGAAAGAGCCTTGTGATGTCACATATTGGATTCATCTCACTGCTGTAACAAATGACCTCCAAGTTAGTGGCTCAACACAAAACACGTTTCTTATCTCACATTTGCAGGGCCAGATGTCTCGCTGGGCTAAAATCAGCCTCTTCTGGAGGCTGTGGAGAGTCTGTTTCCTCCCCTTCCTGGGCTCCTGGAGGCGCCACGTGACCTGCCGGTGGCCCTTCCTCTTTCACGCCAGCACTGCAGCATGGCGTGGGCGCCCCGGCCACAGCCATCCCTTTGCCTGCCCACGGCCGGTTCTCCACCGTGTGGAACTCCTGTCATCAGCCGGGGCTTCCCCGGATAGTGTCCCCCTCTCAGCGTCTGTGTTGCTCATCACCTCTGCAAAGTCCCTTTTGGGGACAGCAAAGAGTCACAGGTGCTGAGACAAGAGCATGGACGTCCCTGGGGCCAGGAGTCTGCCTACTACACATATGCTTGGCTTATTTTTCAGGGAACTTTTTTATGTATTCCTTTACGTGAATGGAAAGGAAACAGGATGAAATACTTCGTAGATTGTGACTCATGACTTTTGTTTCGTATCGATGTCATTTAAGAGAAAAAAAACTACTTGAAGGGCTACTGTAATCAGATCAGTCCCCAGGAGCCACCTTTTGACCTGCAGGCTGAAGTGTCAACCCATGGAGAGGAAAAGATAGACATATCCCTGATAATCAGGAAATGCTGATTAAAACTGTGGTGTGACAGGGGCGCCAGGCTGGCTGGCAGGATTGGAGGAACGTTGATCTCAGTGTTGTGAGTTCAAGCCCCACCTTGGGTGGAGAGATCACTTAAAAAATCTTAAAATAAATAAATAAATAAATAATAAATAAAAAATCTTGTATTATTTTTTTAAGATTTTTTTTTATTCATGAGAGACACACAGAGAGAGGTAGAGACATAGGCAGAGGGAGAAGCAGACTTCTTGCAGGGAGCCCGATGCAGGACTTGATTCTGGAACTCTGGATCATGCCCTGAGCCAAAGGCAGATGCTCAACCACTGAGCCACGCAGGTGCTCCCGCCCTGGGTGTTACATGCAACTGATGAATCACTGACCTCTACCTCTGAAACTAACAACACACATTTTATTTATTTTAAATAAAATTAAATAAAATTTAAAAAATTATAAACCCTGTGTTATGGTTGAATTATGTCCCCCAGAAAAATATTCTGAAGTCCTCACCCCCATACCTGGGAGTGTGACTTATTTGGAAACCAGTCTTTACAAACATGAGCCTGTTAAAAGATGTGGTTGTTAGCGTGAGTCCTGATGTAATACAACTGGTGCCTTCCTCAGAAGAGATTAGGATGCAAAAACACAGAGGGAAGACCATAGGAAACCATGTGATACCCCAGCAGACTGCAAGCTGATGCAGGGGCAAGCCAAGATTGCCAGGGACCTACAGCAAAATCAGAAGCTCAGAGAAAAGCCTGCAACAGACTCTACCCAAAGGCCTCCAGAGAGAGCACACCCCTGCCAAAACCTCCAATTAAATTTTCTAGAAGGGTGAGAGAATAAAATTTCTGCTATTTTAAGGCACTTAGTTTGTGGCATTTTGTTACAGCAGCCCCTCAAAACCAATACACCCTGTAATTATCTTATAAATAGCAGAGTTATGTTGTCTGGCGATTTCTACATCTTATAAAGGCCAGTTTGTTAAAAGTAAGCATTTAAAAATTGCCTCAATTTTTGAAACCCTGGAAAAATATGTAT